AGCCTTTATTTTTTTACAATTTTATTTATTTATTTATTAAAGATTTCTGTCTCTTCCCCACCACCGCCTCCCATTTCCCCCCCTCCCCCAATCAAGTCCCCCTCCCTCGTCAGCCCAAAGAGCAATCAGGGTTCCCTGCCCTGTGGGAAGTCCAAGGACCACCCACCTCCATCCAGGTCTAGTAAGGTGAGCATCCAAACTGCCTAGGCTCCCACAAAGTACGTGCAGTGGGATCAAAAACCCATTGCCATTGTTCTTGAGTTCTCAGTAGTCCTCATTGTCCACTATGTTCAGAGAGTCCGGTTTTATCCCAGGCTTTTTCAGACCCAGGCCAGCTGGCCTTGGTGAGTTCCCAGTAGAACATCCCCATTGTCTCAGTGTGTGGGTGCACCCCTCGCGGTCCTGAGTTCCTTGCTCGTGCTCTCTCTCCTTCTCAAAGAGCCTTTATTTTATGCAAGTTTGCAAACTTGGTCTCTCCGCACATCCAACGTATTGGAATAAATGGAAATCAGAGTTGAGTTTTTATAGTAGTAAAGGTGGGGGTGAGAGTTTTTGAGGTTCAAGACCCCTGATTTGCTGATATTTGTCTAGGGGTGTCCTGGTGAGTATGTGCTGGCACGTGGTCCTATCTACAGCGGTTGGATGTTAGGCATTTCCTTTAGATGGTCTGTTCTTGGGTGGTGCTTGGGTAGTCTCAGTTTGTGGTCCTTCCTGCAACCAGGTATTGCTTGAGGGTAAACTACTGAGACTCAGGCCCCCATTAAACTCAGTGTGGCTGAGTCCTACACTGGCAGGTGATAATGGTTGGAAGTAAAGAACTTCCTTTGGGTGGTCTGTTCATATTTAGCTTATCTTGGCTGCTCCTACACTGGTACATAAGGAAGTTGATGAAAACTGGGCCGTGAGCTCAGCACTTGTCTGCTGACTGGAAACTTCCAGAATGAGCCCTAGAATCTAGGAAGCTCCAACATGGCACTGAACAACAGTGACACCTACAGGTCAACACCATAATGACGCCCGAGACTCTCCCACGCTCGGCCACATAGAATCCAGTTTACAATAACTGAAATCATCTCATGTAGGAATAAATTTAAAAGTTAAGACGTCGAGCTGGGCATGGTGGGCACTCACCTGTAATCCCAGGAAGCGGGGGGTGGGAGGGGTAGAAGCCAGCTTTCACTAGAGTGTGAGGCCCACCTGGGCTACAAAACAACAAAACCACTGGACCACCGGTGGTGGCGCACGCCTCTAATTCCAGCACTCGGGAGGCAGAGGCAGGTAATCTCTGTGAGTTCGAGGCCAGTCTTGTCTACACAGTTCCAGGATAGGCTCCAAGGCTCCACAGAGAAACCCTGTTTCGGAAAGCCAAAAACAAACAAAACCCTACAAAACTACACACATTTTCAAGGAACCTTAAAAACTGGAATAGATCAAGATACATGTATGCAAGTTTTTAAAATCCCAAGTCTTCCTAGTTCTTCTTAATGTATAAGACATCTGCACGCCCAGGTTTAGTAATTCACCGTCACCATGGCCAATGACAACCTACATGTGCAGATGAAATATGGTGCATATGCACAATGGAAAATATCAGTCAGCCACTAACGATGGGTAGAATTCTGTTATCAACATCGATGAAACTTAAAATTTGGTGAAATAATCCAGGCACAAAAATAATCTCACACCTACAGAAACAAAAAAAATTAATCTTGAAATTAGAAAGATTTTGTTGTTGTTGTTGTTGTTGTTGTTTTTCAAAACAGGGTTTCTCTGTGGCTTTGGAGCCTGTCCTGGAACTTGCTCTATAGACCAGGCTGGTCTCACACTCACAGAGATCCGCCTGCCTGGGCCTCCCGAGTACTGGGATTAAAGGCGTGCGCCACTACAGCCCACCCAGATGGGTGATTTTTAAGAGACTAGGGAGAGCAGGAGGAGGGACATCTAAAGCAGCGGTTCCCAACCTATGGGTCATGACCTCTTTCGGCAAACCTCTACCTTCATAAATATCTACACTGTGATTTATAACAGTAGCAAAACTATAATTATGAAGTAACAATGAAAATAATTGTATGTTTGGGGGTCAGCACAACATGAGGAACTGTATCAAGAAGCCCACAGCACTAGGAAGGTTGAAAGCGACTTCTCTAGAGAAAGGTAGGCTGTTGTTGCTGCTGGCTACTAAGTTACAGCTTGAATAAGCTCATGTGACTACACACAGCAGGAATGTACTGTGAATTTCATTTATTTTATGTGCACTGATGCATGTATTTCTGGATGAGGGTGTTGGATCCCCTGGAACTGGAGGTAGAGACGGCTCTGAAGTGCCACGTGAGTGCTGGGTATTGAGCCTGGGTCCTCTGGAAGAACAGTCAGTGCTGGGCCATCTCTCCAGTTCCTGTACTATATGTCTTTCAAAAATCTAAAAGAAAGGACTTTAGTATGTTCAACATGAAGAAGTGATATTTGAGATGTTTGCCCTGATTCAAGCAATAAACCAAGCATGCATGTAGCAAATAGCATATGCACAATTTTTTAAAAAACTTTCTGGAGGCTGGAGAGATGGCTCAGAGGTTAAGAGCACTGGCTGCTCTTCCAGAGGTCATGAGTTCAATTCTCAGCAACCCCATGGTGGCTTATTTCTCAATAATAAGATCTAGTGCCCTCTTCTGGCATGCAGCCATACATGCAGGCAGAATATTATATACATAATAAATAAATCTTAAAAACAATAAAACAAACCAAGGAAGTTTCTGTATATTAAAAATAAATCTGCCGGGCGGTGGTGGCGCACGCCTTTAATCCCAGCACTCGGGAGGCAGAGGCAGGCGGATCACTGGGAGTTCGAGGCCAGCCTGGTCTACAAGAGCTAGTTCCGGGACAGGCACCAAAGCTACAGAGAAACCCGGTCTCGAAAAACCAAAAATAAATAAATAAATAAATCTAAGAAGAGAGAGAATAATAAAAAGAAAAATAAATAAAACTAAGAAGCCAGGCGTGATGGCACATGCTGTTAATACTCCAGAGCTAGGGGAGTAGTGGCAGTTGGATCTCCGAGTTTGAGGCCAGCCTGGTCTACAAAACGAAAGACCCTGTCTTGAAAAATGATAATTAATTAACTAATTAAATCTATGGGTTTGGAGAGATGGGGTAGCAGTTAAGAATACCTGTTGTTCACCTTTTGGATGTCAGTGTGGCAATTTCTCAGAAAAGTAGGAAATAACCTTTCTCAAGACCCAGTAATACCACTTTTGGGTATATATCCAAAGGATGCTCAATTGTGCCACAAGGACATGTGCTCAACAATGTTCATAGCAGTATTGTTTGCTATAGCCAGAACCTGGAAACCTAAATGCCCCTCGACCAAAGAATGGATAAGGAAAATGTGGAACATTTACACAATGGAGTCCTACACAGCAGAAAAAAATAACGACATCTTGAATTTTGCAGGAAAATGGATGGAGCTAGAAAACATTATTTTGAGTGAGGTAACCCAGACACAGAAAGACAATTATCACATGTACTCACTCATAGGTGGATTTTAAACATAAAGCAAAGAAAACCAGCCTACAGAACACAATCCCAGAGAACTTAGACAACAGTGAGGACCCTTAGAGAGACATACATGGATCTAATCTACATGAGAAGTAGAAAAAGACAAGCTCTTCTGAGTAAATTAGGAACATGGGGACCATGGGAGAAGGTTGAAGGGGAGGGAGGAAGAAGGGAGCGGAGGAGAGAAAAATGTAGAGCTCAATAAAATCAATAATAATAAAAAAGAAATCCCCATTGTTTTTGCAGAGAACCCATGTGGGTGCTTTGATCTGAAGTACCCACATGAAAGGTCATAAACATTCCTAACTCTGGTCCAGGGAACTAAACACCCTCTTCTCACCTCCTTGGGCATGAGGTAGGCACATGGTGCAGGGAAATAAATGCACGGAACACTCAGAAACAGAAAATTAAAAAGACTCAAAGTAAACCTAAAAACACAGTGGCAAAGAGCATCAGGAGAGTCGGCGGTCAGTCGCTCAGGAGGTTTGGGAAAGGGAATACAGCCACTGGCTTCTATGGCGACACTCTCACTCACCCTTCCTAAAATTTTACTTTCTACCCTGATTCTTAAAAATTCTCTCTTAAAAAGAAAGCAGAGGAAGGGGGTGGAAAGGTGAGGCGATTCGGTGATTAAGAGCACTGGCTGTTCTTCCAGAGGACCTGGGTTCAATTCCCAGCACCCACATGGCAGCTTACAACTGCCTGTTAACTACCTTGGGGAATCTGACATCAACAGACATACATGCAGACAAAATACCATAGCACATAAATCATTTAAAAAAAAAGGTAGAGGAAGACTTCTGACTTGATTCTCTAAATTTGGTAAACAGTATATTAATAGTTTTGACTCTATACAAGTTAAAGGGACTGGGAATGTAGCTCTGTAGGGAGATTGCTTGCCACTCAAGGCCTAGGTTTCCATCTCCAGCACTGCATTAAATCGGCATGGTAATGTACACCTGTAATTCCAGCACTGGAGAGGCAGCATGATCAGGAACTCAAGGTCATTGTCAACTACAGAGTGAGTCCCAGGCCAGCCTGGACCCTGCATTTCAGGGTAGGAGTGGAGAGATGGCTTAGCATCTTCCAGAGGATCCAGGTTCAATTTCTAGCACCCGCACATCAGCTGACAATAACTCCAGTTCCAGGGATCCAACACTCTTCAGGTGGGTGCAGACATACATCTAAGCAAAACACCCAAACACATAAAAACATGTTAACAGGCAGGAAGATGGCTCAGCAGGGAAGGCACTTGACACACAAGCACGCAGGACTGAGTCTGGAGCCCCAACACTCACAGGGACACCTAGAGGGCGTGGCCCTGCCTGTCATTCCAGGAGCTCATGAGGATTGCAGACAGGATTCCCGTTAGCTACACAGACTAGATGAAGCAGCCTCTGTGTAAGGTGGAGAATCATCATACATGTACCTGCACACACGCACGCACACACAAGTAAATAATCTTTATTTCTTAAATCAGTAAAAAGAAGTACAGAGAACAACTTAAAAGTTAAAGTTTTAATAAAAACATTATGACAACAAACCGCGTCCTCATGCTAGAAATACATAAAAATTATGAACTTCCAAAGGAACCTCTTCATCAGTTTTTAGTTCCCCATCAAGGTACCTTCTGCACATGCCATTGTCATGTGTGGCCATGTGTGGCCACACCATCATGCATAGCTCCTTAAATGTTTAACTGAAGTGTAAGATTGTTTTGTGTTTGAGCAAAATGAGTGAGTACTGGTCAGGCACAATGGTAGACTTCTAAACCCAGCACTTGGGAGGCAGAGGCAGGTGGATCTCTAGGGTCAAGGCCACCCAGAGTTAAAGTACTACTCCTGACTGCATTTTTGTTTTGTTCGTCGTGATGTGATCTCTTGTTCTGAGGGATGGCCTAGAACTCATGATCCTCGTCTCTGCCTCTTGAATGCTAAGATTCCAGGTGTGTACCTGGTGTGGGAACTACATTCCAAGTTCCTGATTCTCCAACTTCATTCTCTTGCTTTAAACAATCAAGACAGTGACACACACGTATAATCTCAACTATTAAGATTCCTGGATGGGAAAAAAAAAAAAAAAAGCCTGCCTCAAGATGAGTTTTAATGTAGGCAGTAAGAAACTGGCCAGCTCACCGCATTCTGTGTGTTATGAAAAAGGACAATTTGTCCTCATGGCCACAGCAGTGATTTAGAGTCCACCCCCAAATCTTAGCAAGCCATGTCAGTTTCCTAGTAATTTGGGGTACTGTCAAATTTTCCTCAAGAAACAAACTGTCTTTTTTCCCCTACCCTCACTCCTGCCAACACCCTCTCAGTTGCTCCATCACCGGTGTTTAGCTTGGCTCATATCCAGGGATGGCAAGGACCTGCCACTCAGTGCTACCCACCGGTGAAAACAGAGCAGTGTGAACACAAATTTGAATCTGGTTAGCGTGCCACTGCAATGAAATCAGTCCCCCAATTCTTTATGATTGTCCATGATGCCTCAAGTTACCTACAAAAGTCCTTGTCTCCAGCGGCTTCTGCGTGGGCTCAGTGTGACAGGAGTAGGCACAGCGGTGGCTGCTACGCCGGAGGACAGAGCGACAGTACCACAGGACAGGTACACTGGGCCTGCCCACAGCTTCCCAGTGAGACCTTAGGAGCTCAGCAGGGACCTTTCCGAAGTGCGCCGTGAGCTCTGAGACTGAGAAGAAACCCGTGAGCAGTTGTCCCAGCCTGTAGCTCTGGCATACGCTCTGAGGTCACTGAGGGCATCCAGGTGTGTGCTTTCATGAGTGACTTCAGTCCCAGAGTTCCCAGCAGGTGACAAGTTCTGGGACAAGAATGAAGGTCTATCTAACCCCACTCTTTTCTGTTTGACAGTCATGAGCAGGAGTCATAAGTAGGTGAACATTCTTTGCCATTAGAACATTTTGTTGTTGTTGCTTTAGAGCTAGGACTCGAACCCAGAACCCCACACATGCTAGGCCACCATTCACAACTGACCTAAATCACTCACCTCGCCCAACAATGACCCACTGTCATTTCAAACACTGAAAGTCATATACCTGAACCTGTGCTGTGGTCCCCAACAAGTGAGGGTGCCTCACCCCTTCAATCCCCTGGCAGAGGAGAGGACTATGCCACTACTCAGAAGACAGCCTTCATCTCGGGGACTGATTAGACACTACTCAGATCTGTGGTCCCCAGCATGTAAGGGTACCTCATCCCTTCAATCCCTGCCAGAGGAGGGGACCATGAGGACTCAACACTACTCAGAAGACAGCCTTCATCATTCTACACAAAGACTCTTCTTCTGGGCTGGAGAGATGCTCAGAGGTTAAAAGCACTCACTGGCTGTTCTTCCAGAGGTCCTGAGTTCAATTCCCAGCAACCACGTGGTGGCTCACAAACATCTGTAATGAGATCTGGTGTTCCCTTCTGTCATGCAGGCAAACACTCTTCTTCCTCTCTAATCCGTTTTCCACGCCCCCAATCTCCGGAGATTGCATGTACTTAACTAACTAACTGTAATAAGAAATGGTAACTAATGACACAAATTCACCAAACCCATTTTTTGCTAAATGTAACTAGGTTGAGAATATTTAATTTGAAAATTTGAAAAATGGGTATCTTGATTTAGACAGGTTTGGGGATCACTAGAGATTAGCCACTGTTGGTATATAAAACAATCAGGGCAAATCGAAGTTTTCTGGGGCCTCTTCAGAGCAGCCGCAGACTGTGAGGTCAAATTGAAGCATCGTCACTCAAATTTGATGCCTTGAGCCAGGGGAAGGTCTGTGCTGTAGTTGATGGTACTGGGAGGAAGAGAACTAAGTGAATGGCGGTGCATACACAGTGTAGAATACGTTCATAACATAAAAACATAGGCTCGTCTATATTAGCAACTTTCAAGTTGGTAAGAAAAAAAAATTGGTATACAAAACAATGTCAGTGTGACTCCTTAGAAAAGAACAAGGGAAACACAGGCGTCTGGGAGATGCACAGCCTCTGCCACCCCCAGCTTCCTTAGATCGTCGTGTAAGCACACAGGCGATTTAACCTTCTCAGGAACTCTCATTGCATTATCAGGGGGAATTTAAATAGTCCCATACTGGTAAGAATGTAGTCATTTTTAAAGGTTTTCGTTTGTTTGCTTCTTTTTCCTTTCCTCAAACTAGTCACAAGACACTTGGGTTTTCTAGAGGAAAGGCATCCTGGGTCTATGGGCTCTGAAAAGTCAGAACGCTGTGTTTGCCTGCGCGGCTCTGAGCGCACAGGAAAAGGAAAAAGAGAAGCCAGCCTACAGCACAGCAGGAGGCAGAGCTTGGGCTGCTCTGAGGGGACCAGGCTGAGGTCTCAGGAGCCCCGCCCAGCACTCGTCCCACTGAGCACAGCATGGCAATGACTGGGTCTCCTAGGCATTCGAGCCAGTCCCACCCAAGTAGGCCAGAGAGCACAATAAAGATAAAACAAGTCCCAGGCAGCATCTCCAGAAGCCGCCATGCATGTCCAGGCAAATGCCCTAAAGTCTTGTTCATACTTCTAAGCTGGTACCCCCACCCCAAAGCTTACAGGCCAGACCCCCACGCTCCTCTCTACCTCACTATACAAGAAAACTCCATCACGGGAGAAATGGAAAGGATGGCTCCTTCCACCTCCTCACGCTGAGTGACCGGGTGTTCTCATCCTCCCTATTCCACCTCTGGGGCAGAATCCAACAAGGAAACCTCATAGTCAGTTGTTATGCTAGACAAAGAGGCCGGAAGGGACAATGGAAGGCGAGCATCCTTTACTGTAAATATGCGGGAGTCACTTTTTTAGACCTTCTTCTGATTTGGGAACATCTGCATAGACAGGAGACTCCTTGGGGACGGGACTCAAGGCAGCCTGAAGTCCATTCCTGCTTCGTGTAGCTCTCTCTGTACACACTGCCTCGAGGCAACTTGACATTCCTGGGATCCCTCCATTATGACTGCCACCCGTCCAAGGGCCAGCTGGAGAAGCTGTCCACATGTTATGTCACACCAGTGCAGAAGTTTTCAGATTTGGGAGCATCCGGAATTAGTGGTGCTTTACCCATAGTAGAGCATGCGTGCTCAAAAAGAAGGCAGCTACAGACCCGGGAAAAGTAAAACCAAGTGGAACGGAGCAAAGACAGAACTGGAAGACAGACAAGCAGCAGCCCATTCCCGAAGGCTCGGAGACCAACCCTCCTGCCCAGAGCCCTTCCTTACCATGTGGACCTTCGCATGTACTGCTTCCAGGCATCGCTGCCAGACTCCCTGCCGCCGCCAGTGTGCTTCTCTCCTCCTAGAGAAACGCAAAATCATCGCACACCTTTTCCGTGGCCCTCAGAGGACACCTGAGCTAGCAGAACAAGACAAGGGAGTACACACCTCTAAATCCCAACCCTAGAGACTGAGGCAGAAAGATTTTGAGTTCAGCCTGGGGTATATAAGGTATACAAAGTTTGTGTATGTGTGTCCCCAAAACAAAAGAGAAGGAAGAGGTGGTGGCAGTGGCAGCTGGAGATGGCTCAGTGGTTAAGAGCACTGTCTACACTCTTGTATGGGACCCAGGTTCAGTTCTCAGCACCCACGTGGCAGCTCACAACCACCTCTAACTCCAGTTTCAGGGGACCTGGCACCCTCTTTTTGGGCCCTGCAGGCACCAGGCATTTAAGTGGTGCTCACATACCCATGAAGACAAACACTGATACATATAAATAAATCTTAAATGTTTTTTAAACTTAAAAAAAAAAAAAGGAAGAAGGAAAGCAACAGAGACCCGAGCTAAACAATATGCAGAGAGGCTCTGGAGCACTCAGCTTTAAAAGGGGGTGCCATCAGGCCCCTCCCTCAAGGCTCAGGAATGTGTGTGGAAGAGGAAGCTGCAGGAGCCAGAGCTGATGGTGGTCCCAGCAAAGTCTCCCCCGAACACAACCAAACGGATGCACATATGAACACAGAGACTGTGGGAGCACACACAAAACCTTCACAGGTTCAAGTCAGATGTGGTCCCAGCACCAACAGGGAGAAATGAAGACTGGGCCCCAGCCCTAACTAAGCGACTGTTGGCAAGCGATACTCCAATGGCGAAGGGAAATCGGTTTCCTTCAGTGGCATGTTAAAGTACTTATCAGCCACACTCCACATCAGGCCCCATGCTCAGGAGTAGTCAGCCAAAACAAAGTGAACTCCATGGGGTGTTTTTGGTTTTCTTTTTTTTTTTTAACTTTTATTTAGTTTTGACATTTCTCTTTTTGTTTCATTGGTCTTTGGCCTGTTTGATTTTCATGTGTTTATGTTGAGAGAGAGAGACAGAGAGAAAGAGAGAGAGAGAGAGAGAGAGAGAAAGAGAGAGAGAGGGAGGGAGAGAATATGTAAAGTTGGGTATGGAGGAAGGAGGTTCTGGGAGGCCACTTATTTTTACTATACTTTGGATTTTTGCTTTGGGTTTTTTGTTATTGTCTTTCTTTTTTCCAACCTGGGCCTTTCTGGCCTGGTACACACTCCAGGTAAGCCTCACTATGGCAATCTTTCTGCCTCAGCCTACAGAGAGCTGGGATTACAAGAATGGGCTACCACACTCAACCATTCTGGCTAACTTGTTTTTAATTTTTGTATACATTTTCTAAGTGTAAAGACCAGAAGACAACCTCCAAGGTCAGTTCTTTCCTTCGAGCATCCAGGGATTGGACTCAAAAGAGTCTCAGGCCTGGTGGCAAACCTCCTTACCCACTAAGCCATCTTTGCTGCCCCACTATGAATAATTTTTAACAAGTTAAACTTAACATGTACCCCCTAAAAAAAGCTATCAGTAAACATCAGTAACTCATAGGGTCCTCAAAGGGTCCAGAAAAATAAACGACTTAGTATCTCATCTAGTGAAATCTGGGGAGGGAACAGTAAAGTCCTAAGTGAAAGCATGCTGTTGACATGAGCACAGCCATGCAAGGACCCCAACACCTCAGACCCATGAGAATAGCAAGGCCTTCCTTAGGTCCAAGGACGGGTGCACACCAACAGTTGGTCTTTGGCTAAAATCCGTGTGTGCTGAACATTTCAAGCGCAGCTCCCTCATCCCGAGGACTGCAATCTGAGACATCCCCCGCAGCACTTCCTGTGGACATTAGCTAACCTGCCTCCTCCTCCTGTTCATACTGTAAGTAGTAAATGCACTGAGTTCCCTGGCTGCTGCTCTGTGTCTCCACCGAACTGCACAGACCACCAGTTCTCAGCTTTTCTGTACAGGTGTCTGTCATTTCTTCATTCCACATCACCCAAGTCAATTTCTAAGTCTACTTTGCATGTGTATTTGCACACGTATTATATTTTAAGTTTCCTGGCTTTGAAGTAAAAAGTTTTAACCTTTCTGGAACTGGGATCTTCTGTCTAGAAAAAAAAAAAAATACTGACTTTTAAGGTTCATGTATCTTGAGCTAAGGGCCCTGCTCCAATCTAAGCAGAAGATGAGGACCCTGGTAAGAACTTGGGTTGGAGTGCACGCGCTTTCCGGCATACCAGATTACGGGTTACTGCAGAATATAAACTGTATTTCCATTTCTTATTTTGTTTTGTTGTTTTCTTGAGACAAGGTTTCTCTGCGTAGCCCTGGCTGACTTAGAACTCACACTGTAGACTAGACTGGCCTCAAATGCAAGAGATGCACCTGCCGCTGATTCCCAAGTGCTTTGCTGGGATTAAAGGCACGTGTGATAACCACCCAGCTTGGGTTTCCATTTCTGGACAAACTAAAGGCGAACACTACTATTCCTTTGCTGTTCAGTGTGGAAAGGAGGGCAGAGGCTCTTAGCTTAGTGGTAGAGTGTTGGCCTAGCAGGCATATCAGCCTAGGACCAAACCAAAAGTGACTTTTAAAAAGAAAAAACGAGTCTCTACATACCAAAGGCACCACCAATCTCAGCCCCGCTGGTCGGAATATTGACGTTCACAATGCCACAGTCTGAACCTTTGGGTCTGTGGGCGAGGAGAGGGACAGTGAGAACACCAGAAATCAAAACAGAACAAAGCCCAGATAGTGCGGCTCTCACATGGACACAATCCACCCACCAACCACGTCAAACGTTTAAAGACGTTCAAAACAGACTATGTTATACCCAAGCCATCGGAAGATTCTGCCCAAGTCCTTGGTGAAAATGCTACTCGAGAGTCCTTGCTTCACCTCATTGTTCCACTCGAAGACCTCTCTTTCGTTCTAGAGGACGAGACCAGAAGCTGTGAGCATTACCAGCGCCACGGTGCTCAGGTCAAAGCTCACAGCATAGAACAGAGTTTTAGTGCACAAAAGAAAACCAAGAGGCAACGCTTTGCTAAATCCGTTTTCTTTCATGGCTTAGATCTTTTTTTCTTTTTTTTACCTTGAATTTGAAGACATAGAGAATTGGGGCGAAAGTCTCCTCATGCACGATGGGGGCATCATGGGGCAGGCCGGTGATAATGGTGGGCTCTACGTAATTGCCAGGATGATCCATCACCTTAAGCAGAAAGAAGATAAAAAGAATGGATGGGTTTCCTTTCCCCAGACTTGGGATCGGAGGACGTCATCCTTCCTACATTTATGAGGAGAGAAACAAAACAGCATTTACAGGTAACTGTTTTCTCCAAAGCAGCATCCTGTTTGAGTGAAAGCACCCTCCTGCTCCTATTTGTCAGAGAGAAAACAGAAAAGGAGTTTGGAGAGGAAAACCATACTGTGTGTTGCAATAACGTTATTTGGTGGGGCAGACGGCTGAAATGCTTGTTTTTGAGTTCATTTTAAAATAGGCAATCTGGACCCATTATGTAATTCATTTAGTAGTAGCATTTACCCCAGTTCACACACTGAGTATGACCAAGACTCGGAGTGATGGCATCTGGACGTGTGACCCTCAGGGAGGCCATCAGTCGTAATAAATGAAGGCAGCAGAACAGACCTAAACCAATACGGCCAGTGTCCCCTGCCCTTTGGGGTAAGGTCACTTGAGGACTCAACTACAACCCAGGGAAACATCACCAGTACTCGGTACTGGTCTTCAACATCCAGTTTCCAGTGTTTCCAAACCAGTTTCTGATACTCTGTTACGCATGCCCCAGGGAATTCATGTTCACTGCATAAAACTCCAAAAAGACGCATGCGTAGCCAGCCCCCATACAACCTCTCCACTTACTGAACTCTGGCACTCTAAGCTCTGCATCAGCCCTGCACTCTAAACTGTTTGCATGCAACTCTACCTGTTCCTGCATGGGTCGACAGAACCATGAACTCAGGTCTCACACAAGGGTGGACCCAATTTCTGTAACAACTAGTCCTAGGGACTGACTCGAGGGCGATTATTCTGACAGTTTCTTCTGGGTCTCAGGGCTATTCTGTCATCATGCATTCCTCAAAACCCTTTTTCCCTTGTAATGGGGCGAAGAAGAGCATCCATCTGGGACCCTTCTGGGACCCACCTTTTCTCAGCAATCTGAGTTCAGGGGAAAGAAAGACACAGGCTGTCATTATCCACCCACAACTCTCAATACCTTGCCCCCGAAGGCCACTGTGCCTCCCTGTTTCTTTGCTTCTTCCACGGCTCGAAGAAACATGTTCACTGCCTGTTTGGTATGTAGTGGTCCGTAGAGAATATTCGCTGGGGAGAGAAAAGAGACGCTCTTCATTTTGCCCTCAAATGGCATGGTGTTTTTATGTTAGTGGCTTTCCAAATTAAGAGGCTAAACCCTCCTCCCTCTATCCTCAGTTAAGAGCAGGAATCAGCAACTTTTGCTGTGAAGGACCAGATGCTTAGCATCTTATGCTTTCTATCAAGTATGTGGTTTCCAACACAACTACTCAACCCCGCCTTTGTAGTCTGAAAGCTGCTATATATAATATGCAAATGAGCAGGGGTAGCTGTGAGGCAGACATATGCAGATAGCAAACTGAATATGCTTGCCAAACCCTACCGTAGAGGAAGGGCTATCAAAGTGATGCCCTAAAAACACAGGAGTGGCATGTTCATAACAGTGTGCTCACTCTTGAAGACCACTATAATCTCTGTGGCTAGTGTGCAGCTCTACGGGGTAGACTGACCAACTGCCAGAAACGAGAGCATTGAAGGAACCTCAGGGACTTAAACCTCTGCAAGCATGTAGCCGTTGATCATGGGAAGACCTCAGCAAAGTTATTTCTAGCAGAGGAAATAGCAGCAAAGAACCAGGAATGCTTGAAAACACTGGAAAGTTGGATAAACTGGAGCCCAGGCCAAGTGGCTGGGGATCTAGTGGACAATAAGCAAGGTGGAAGGAATCCATATCATAAAAGCCTGGGAATCTGCCACAGAGGGAATCTTGATCTTAGTCTAAGCAGAGTAAGATCATTGGAGTGTCCCTAGCCAAAGGGTGAATTACATTTTTTCACTTATTTTTATTCCCAATTATGTGTATGCTTGTGTTTGTGTAGGCGAAGGCATGAGTGTAGAGGCCAGAGGCGTCAGACCCCTGAAGCTGGAGTTAGTAGATGTTTTAAAAGCTGGACATGATGGTGCATGTCTTTAATCACAGCATGTAATAGGCAGAGGCAGGTGATCTCTCTGAGTTCAAGGCCAGTCACTAAGGCGACACTAAGAGACAATGTATCAACCCACTCCCCAAACACAAAAAGCAGTTGTGAATCACCTGATATGTACGCTCTGGGTCTCTGCAGTATGTGCTCTTAACCCTGAGCCATCCTCCCGGGCCCAAACCAACCCTTCCCTTGTCTCTTCCCCTGCTTTTATAAAATATGGGCTATCACTATGCAGTTCTATCTGCCTAGAACTACTATGCAGACCAGGCTAGCCCCAAACTCACAGAGATTAGCTAGTTCTGCCTCTACCTCTTCCTGAGTAATAGGCTCAAAGGCATGCACCACCATGCCCAGCACTGAATACATCTTAGAAACCACTCTGGTTACTATGCAAGAGAGCTGTGGAAGCAGCAGGTCTAGGGACTCGAACACTTTCCCTGCAGATGGTGGTGACTTAGAAAGGATACAGCAGCAAAAAGAAAAAGAACTCAATTATCATCCCACCCCACCCAACCATCACCCTACCCTATCATCATCACCCCATTCAACCATCATTCTATCCAATCACCACCCATCCAACTATCAATCCACCCTACCATCATCACCCCACCCAACCATCACCCTATTCAATCACCACCCCACACAACCAGGACCTCAGCTCTTACATATCAAGTATGAGATTCAACCTAGGAAGACAGGTCATCAAATTGCCCTCAGAACTCTCAGAAAAGGGCACCCACCACTACCTCCAACTCAAAAGCTCAGAAGTACAGGTAGCACCAGCTGTCAAAAGGGAGTAACTTTTAAGAAAAGAACCAGCTACTCACGGTCCCAGGGGTTCCCAACACGGATCTGTGAGTAGGCACCTTTCAGTCTTGATACAACTTCCTCATGGATGCTTTCGTGCAAAAACTACGTAAAGAACAAGCATTCAGGGGAATAGCAAGATGAATATACACATCCTGAGATAGTAAAAAAGTTCTTCAACAGTACTGATTAGTAACTACTAAAATACTATCATCTCTGAAAAGAAACCGAACCCATGCTTTTAATATATATTTTCTAGTTTTAATATTAACTATGAAAATAAACCACCTCTTCTAGATGGATGTTGAAGTAAAACCATAAACCAAAGCTAGGGATGCAGGTTAGCCGGTCATGCTGATGTTAGCATTCAGGAAACCCTGGTTTTTTTCCCCAGCACCACACATCAGATATGGTATATCGCATGCCTATGAGCCCAGTATTAGAAAGATAGAAGCAAGAAGATTAGAAGTCCCAGGCTATCCTCAGCTACACAATAGCTTGAGGCCAGCCTGGGATACATGAGACTCTGTCTCAAGCAAAAAAAAGCACCCAAAAATGCAATCAAAGAAAACACCATAAACCATGTCTGTATCAAGTTTCTAAGAGCCTGGCCTGCTAAGCTACAAACATCTACCTGTAGCTCCAGTCTTGGGGAATTTGACACACTACTTCTAGCCTCTGAGGGTATCAATCATACATGAGGCGCATAGATATACACACAGACAAAATATCCACACACATGAAAATAAATCATGTTTTTAAAGATCATATTGTCACTTATTCTTCAACTTGGTCTGGTTTAGAAATCAGTCTTATATAAAACATTTGCTCATAATTGGGAGTGAGGGAAAATTACACAGAACCAGTTCCTCTATGACTCTGTGGCAGCTTTTAAATGTAAATGTAGCCAAATTGTATACCTAAAACTTATTTCGCTGTAGTCTTTCACTATAGGAGAGCCACAAACAAATAAATCGAGGATTTATTTCTAAATTGAAATCCAACTCAATCTAGTATATAAATTCAACTACCCACATCCCCCACACTGAACACACTGAAGCTAGACAATACCTCCTCATACCGACGTGTGTGTGTGTGTTTAAAATACTACCCAAGCTAAACGCAAACTCCTGGACTCAGAGGACTCTCACCTCACCCTCACCCTCCCAAGTCCTGGAATTACAGGTGCATGCCACCACCTCAGTTCAAACCAAATACTAAGAAAAGAATGGACGTGACAGTCATTTGCTTTTCAATAAGCCATATCACACTGAGTGAAATCTGAGACTCGAGGCCAACACTTACAATATCTGAAATGTTTAGGAAAAAGCAGAGCAACTGTTTAGTTAACAGTTTTAGAACTTGACTCGTCTGATCTCCTAGAAGACACTGGACTTAGTCCATGTTAGCCATGGACTCTGACTCAAAATTGGCATCACCTCTGCGTCCAGCTTCCGTCACCTGAGCCCACTGCAGCTTAGGGTGGTTTAGCATCTGCCACCATCACAGGAGTAGAGGAGGAGCACACATCAGCCACTCATGTTTAGGGAATATATTTTTCTAGTAACTCTTCTATGACGCCCAGTCAACAGAGTTCATTAAACTGGGGTGCTCAAAAAGCAGGACGGGGGGCTTAGCAGTTAAAGAAGTCTTGCTGTTCTTCCAGAAGATCCATGTTTGGTTCCTGATGTGGGAGTGTCATATCAATCTGTTGATTTCATTGGCTAAGTAATAAACAAACTGCTTGGCTGGCCCTCATAGGTTAAAACATAGGTGGGAGGAGTAAACAGAACAGAATGCTGGGAGGAAGAGGAAGTGAGCTCAGACTCGACAGCTCTCCTCTCGGGAGCAGATGCCTCAGAGAGACGCCATGCCCCGCTCCCGGGCAGACACACGCCATGAAGCTCTGACCCAGGATGGACATAGGCTACAATCTTCCCGGTAAGACCGGTGCTCACAGATTATTAGAGATGGGTTGATCGGGATATCAGAATTAGCCAGTAAGGGCTAGAGCTAAAGGGCCAAGCAGTGTTTAAAAGAATACAGTTTCCGTGTAATTATTTCGGGTAAAGCTAGCCGTGCGGGCGGCGGGGTGCTGGGGACGCAGCCCCGCCGCTCCTATTACAACAAGTTCCCAGGATCCTCACTGAGCAGTTCACAACCACCTGGATTCCGGCTCTAGGAGATCTGACACCTGCTTTGGGCCCTCTGAGCTCGCCTGCACACAACACACACAGACACATACACATTCGTAGGAAGAAGAAGGACAATCTCAAGCATGTTTGTGGACACACTCACCAGTCTCCTCACAGAGGTACACCTCTGGCCAGCTGTTCCCACGGCGGCAAACAGAGCTGATGGAAGAACCAGGCAAAGGTCTGCATCCTCAAAAGCTTAAAGAAACAAAAGTGTGCACCATCAGTGTGCAGTAGGCAGACAGAGAGAACATTTGCTAAGCAGTATAAAGCAATGCCTTTAGAAAATACAGTAACATCAAAAAAATAATCATTGCAGAACAGACGGTTCATGGTACAGAGTCACACGTCCAAGGGGGAAGGTGTGCTTTTCTTCTAGAGGAGGGTATATAATGACAGAGCAATGGAAACTACAACCTTTACCCAATACACAGGTAAACTGAGTCTCGGTTGGATCATGTCACCTTTCACCTCTGTTTTAGAGACCCCTCACTACTGCTCCATGAAAATTCAATGAGCTTTGCCACCATCAGGCTGCTTGCTTGTCCTAGTCCATCCCTACTGCCACAAAGCTTCCTGTTCCTACATGAGATAGCCTGTCGCTGCTGCAGGAGATGATCAAAATCTGTTCCAGCTTTCCCTGAAGACATCCAGGTAACGTCCTATCACTACCGTCTCCTCCATTCCTCTTCCTCTCCCCGAAGATGAGGAAAAGTCATCTTTACAAGGTTAACCTGTAGGAGGCTAATTTATGACTTACAATCCCTGCTTCCTTGTGCCTTCCGGAATCTTACCGCCACTGTCCCCTCCTATGCTGTAACCTGTCCAACCTAAGCATCCTCGGATCAGGAAGATATAAAGAGGCATTTCACACACACAACCTAGACTTCCTATCCATTTCACAACTCTGTAATCCACTATTTAATTGTTCTCCCAGTTCTGGGGGGCCAAATCCAGGGTCTTGTAAATGTGAGGTTTTGTACTAGCTGTGTTCTTGACATCAGATCTCAGAGCACAGAGCACAGTGCTTCAGTCCTTCCCTCCATCCATTCAGACTGGGGCATCATTAGCCTACATTACAGATGAGCAAACTGTTGCTTTAAACGCTGCACAGGGTGCACAGGGGAATAACTCAGTAGAGTAAGATCATGTACTGCTCTTCAAGAGGACCCCAGTGGTTCTTAACACCTATGTCAGGCAGTTCACAAGCCCCTATAACTCCAGCTCCAGGGGAGCTGATGGCTCTTTTGGTTCCTCAGGTACCTGCACCCACTTGCACAAATACACACACACACACACACACACACTTAAAAGTAAAAAAAAAAAAATCTTAAAAAAAAAATTGTTCCTTCCTAACATGAAAGCCCCCAATACTCCGCTAAAGGTCAACTTTGTGTGTGTGAAACCTAAAGCAATAGGCAAGTCACTTAGGAAATAAGTGATTATTCTAGAAGAGCACATAGCCAGTTTCTAGAGAACAAGATAAGGAAAAGCATGAAGAAGTAATGCCACGTTAGAGACAACAGAAGTCTCATGCCCACATTCAGGACCCCAGGTAACATTTTTCCCAACATTATCCTGTTTCTTAAGCACCGTCTTCCTGTAAGCCAAGCTCATGTCTTGACTCCTAAGGAAAATTCCTAAAGATGGGCACAGAGTCCCAAGCACACAGGGCTTGGGAAAGGATGCGTTTCTATGCAAGTCCCACACATTCAAGATGACTGCACAGAAAGCAAAGAGGAAAGAGCAGCCTTACCAATAATGGCATTGTTTCCTCCAAGCTCTAACAAGCTTTTCCCTTTAAAAGAAAACAGACACAATTATTTCCTGTTCCAGTACTCAGTGCACACTGGCTCACATTAGAGCCATTCTAGTTATTTTTTCATTTACTTTCTGATTATTCAAGCAGCTTAACAATGATATTAATGACAATCACAACATTGTACAACAGTTACATACAAGAATGTGCTCTTGAGAAATACACGGAAAATGGATATTAGGTGCACACACTGTGTGCGTGTGAGCCCATGCATGTGCGTGTTTCTAGGGAGAGTAAATGACAAAGCGTTATGCACATAGCTGTTGCTGCTGTCCACGTTGGTCAGGGAAGCTTCCCTGAGCAGTGACTGCACTGAACTCATAACTGGTCAAAGTACTGAGAATCAGCTGAACGCCCACCATGAATGGGATGGGACATCGCTATCACGCCCTCCAAAGTAGTAGGGGCCGGTGCCTTCCAGGCAGGATGTGGCTATGGCAAATTAGTGCAAAGGAGCTGTGTGATTACCCATATAAGATGGGGCCTGTCAACACTTGTCATGGAAAAGTGGACTCGTGGGGTCCCACTGCTGCCTGGGGACTTATATACAGTTAATGGTTGGTGGAGCAGGGAGAGATCAATTCTTCAGCAGTGTAGCAACCGGTAAGGCACCTGTGAGCCTATAAACAAACCCTCACCCCCGATCCTTTAAGCAATGAAATTCATTAGGGGCTGACAAGATGGCTCAGCAAATAAAGCCTGCAGCCTGAGTTCAATCCCCAAGACCTACATGAATGGCATGAATCGACTCCTGCAAATTGACCTCTTACCTCCACATGTGAGTGTCTGTGTGTGTGTGTGTGTGTGTGTGTGTCTGTCTGTCTGTCTGTGCATGCATTTTTAGTTAAGTTTGAGGTTTAGAATAAGACAAGGAAAAATTTCATACTAATTCAAGTGGCTATCTACTTGTCCGAGCACTACCTGTCAAAAGAGACTGCTCCTACCCATTGAAATTGTCTGGCAATTGTGTCAAGAAGAGGATAAGACACCCATGAGCAATAAATGTACGGGCTCTTGGTTCTATCCCATTGCTCTATGACTTCTAGTTGTACAATCAGGAAGTATGAGCTCTCCATCACTAATATTTTTCAAAATTGCTTCAGATATCCAGCATTCTTCACATTGCCATAGGAATTTTGGCATCAATTTGTCGCTTGACACAAAACAGACAGCTGATGTTGATATTAACTACACTGAGCCCAGAGATCACTTGAAAAGAACTGCTATCTTAATAAGCCTAAACACCAGGAAAAGTGAAAATGGGATGGCTTTATTTAGGTCTTAATGTCTTTCATTAGCTACTCTCACAAAGACTAACACTACTTTAGATTTATGTGTGTTTTATTTTTTTATGTCACCATAGTGGAATTGTTTTCTGAATTTCATTTTTAAGTCACTCATAGTTGCTACACTGAAAAATAATTTTTTTTAATATTTATTTATTTATTATGGATACAATATTCTGTTTGCATATATGCCTGCTAGAAGAGGACACCAGACCTCATTACAGATGGTTGTGAGCCACCATGTGGTTGCTGGGAATTGAACTCGGGTCCTTTGGAAGAGCATGCGATGCTCTTAACCGCTGAGCCATCTCTCCAGCCCTGAAAAATAATTTTTTAAACAACCTTATTGACCTTATTCTTTATTTTGTTGAGCCTTTTGTTTGGTTTGCTGTTTTTCAGTTTCTTGGGTTTTTGGAAAGCAGGGCCACAATATAGTACTGGCTGGCCTAGAACTCACTATAAAGACGGGGCTGGCCTTGAATTCACAGAGGTCCACCTGCCTCTGCCTCCCAAGTGCTGGGATTAAAGGCGTGCACCACCAGGTCCAGCAATGACCTGCAGATATCATATACTGATTCAAACCCTCATCACAAAGCCTACACTCACCAAACCTCTCCTGCACCGTGAGGGCCACCTGCTTCCCAACCTGAGTGCTCCCGGTGAAGGACAGCAGGTTCACACGTGAATCCTTGGCCATTGCTGTGCTGCAAGGGAACACAGAGAGTCACCCAGGCAAAAAAACACCTAGAAATGATGGCACCCAGCAGTACCAGCAAGAAGCATGACATGAGCCCTTGGCAAGACAGACAAGGTTACAAGGAAGTCTATCCCAAGGCATGAGGTAAGGAAACAAACTGTTCACAAGTAGCAGCACGGGGAAAGCAAGTCGACCTGCTCTGTGAGCTATGACAGCCCTTAAAGGAACCTCCTTAGATCATGAAGAGAGTTCTTCCTGTACTGAGAGGGAGCAGAGACAACGTGTTCCTTGTGCCTTCTTAATGAGCACCAGGCGCTTTCAGGCTCCTGATCTGCAATACGACCCCTTTAAGAATAGCCAGACCTGGGGCTGGGGTGCTGGCTCAGCAGTTAAAAAAGACCAGTTACTCTTCCAGAGGACCCAGGTTCAATTTCCAGAACCCACATGGTAGCTCACCACCATCCATACATAACTCTAGTTCTGGAAGACCCAACTCTCTTTTGGCTTCTACAGGCACCAGGCACACATGTGGTACTCATGCAGGCTTTATTTAAAAGAAAAGGACTGGATCTATAACACAAGCCTGTAATCCCAGCGACTTGGGAGCTTGAGGTAGGAAGAGCACATGCTGAAGGCTTGCCTGTGCTAGAGTGAGTTCAAAGCCATCCTGAGCTACTTAGTAAGGGACTGCCTTGAAGTCAAATTGCTCACAATTAACTCCAGGACCCAGATAACACACATTTCTCTTGGGGCTGGGGGTGTAGCTTGCGTCCTAGCACTCAGAAGGCAACCACACAAAACTGGATGCGGCGGTCTATACCTATAATCCCGGAAGTTGAGGTGAAGTCAAGAGGATCAAAGCTCAAGTCATGTCCGCTACCCTGAGTTCTCCAAAATCAGTACCTCCTTTGAACCCCCTTTTCTCTCCCAACTAAAATTTCCCCAAAAAATATACAATTTTTAAACAATTAAAAACTGCTCTGGGATTTCCAGTTGGTTCTCAGGAACACAGCTCCAATACTACCGACTGAAACGTCACCGTTCAGTTGTCTGTGCTTCCGTTCAACGTGAGCAACGCAGGGTAGCCCTGCTCCGGCCTGCACACTGGACAGACTGAGCAAATTACTCAGGTACAACTCGCCAGGTTCAGCCCACAGGCGTGAGCGCCTGCATGCCAGGTGGCTGTGCTTAGCCAGATCCTACGTATGCTGCTGAGCAATGCCAAGGCCAACAGAAGGACAGGATATCCAGACTGCAAGAACAGAGTAGGCCAAAGAATACAAAACTCATGTTCCGGTGACATTTAAAAACACTTCAGTGGCTACTATGGGGGTAGGGAGGTAGGAGATAGGTTTTCTATCATTCTCATCCATATGAACAAAGAAGTAAGAACCTAACATCTAGAGCAGCACGGTGATAGCCTTGACTCGTAGGAAACCTCCCTGGTCAAAGGGGAAGCTGGTTTAAAAAAAAAAATAGTGACCCCAGCTTTCCTGATGATTCAGAACAGTATTAGTCAACTCCAGATTCAAGAGGCTGTGTGTGACCTTATGCTAAGCAAAAGACTCATAAAGATAGTGTTAAGAAAAAAAAGAGCTGATATTATATGATTCCATTTATACAAAATGGCACCAAAAGAAAAATTCAAGACAAAAAGTACATCAGTGACTGTCAGAAACTTGGGGAAGGCAGTGGGAAGTGAATGTGGACAATACCCTGGAATAAGATAGCAAAAGTTGCACAACAATGAATGTTCTCCAAGCCACTCAGCAGGGGCTGAGGGTACAACTCAGTGGGACACACAGAGTACACACACAGAGTTCCTGGGATCCCACCCCAAGACCAACACAAAACTAACAAAAACCCACCATACGATACAGTTTCAAAGAGATGGCTTTACAGCATATGAATCTTGTGGCAGTTAAAAAACAACAACAACAACAACAAAAAAAAAACCCAGTCCTTTTTTTTCTAGATAGGGTCTCAAACTTGTTGTGTAGCTGAGGATGACTTTGAACTCTTGATCTTCCTGCCTCCACCTCCAGAATTCTGAGATTACAGGCATGTGCCACCATACCTGGCATACTAAATGCTAGGAACTGAATCCTGAGTTTCCTGAATGCTAGACTAACACTCTACCCTCCCTCCCACCTCCGTATCTTCCTGGGCTATATATCCCCTGTCTCCTATTACAATCAGCTAAGGAAATGCCACTAGGCTAATTCCTCAGGCATGGAGAGCAATGTCACAGCTTTGTTTCATAGTTCTCTGGATAACTCATGTATCAGAAAATTATTATCTGTCAAAAATATAAGTGCTAACAATCAGTAGGTCAAGAACTAAAACACAAGTATTTCTCAGGAAGGTTATTCACTAAAGAGCATAGCAGGTCTACATGATTAATACACAGCAGGTCTACAGGATTAACACACAGCAGGTCTACAGTATTAACACACAGCAGGTCTACAGTATTAACACACAGCAGGTCTACAGTATTAACACACAGCAGGTCTACAGGATTAACACACAGCAGGTCTACAGGATTAACACACAGCAGGTCTACAGGATTAACACACAGCAGGTCTACAGGATTAACACACAGCAGGTCTACAGGATTAACACACAGCAGGTCTACAGGATTAACACACAGCAGGTCTACAGGATTAACACACAGCAGGTCTACAGGATTAACACACAGCAGGTCTACAGTATTAACACACAGCAGGTCTACAGTATTAACCACACAGCAGGTCTACAGTATTAACCACACAGCAGGTCTACAGTATTAACACACAGCAGGTCTACAGTATTAACACACAGCAGGTCTACAGTATTAACACACAGCAGGTCTACAGGATTAACACACAGCAGGTCTACAGGATTAACACACAGCAGGTCTACAGGATTAACACACAGCAGGTCTACAGGATTAACACACAGCAGGTCTACAGTATTAACACACAGCAGGTCTACAGTATTAACACACAGCAGGTCTACAGGATTAACACACAGCAGGTCTACAGTATTAACACACAGCAAGTCTACAGTATTAACACACAGCAGGTCTACAGGATTAACACACAGCAGGTCTACAGGATTAACACACAGCAGGTCTACAGGATTAACACACAGCAGGTCTACAGGATTAACACACAGCAGGTCTACAGGATTAACACACAGCAGGTCTACAGGATTAACACACAGCAGGTCTACAGGATTAACACACAGCAGGTCTACAGTATTAACCACACAGCAGGTCTACAGTATTAACACACAGCAGGTCTACAGTATTAACACACAGCAGGTCTACAGTATTAACCACACAGCAGGTCTACAGTATTAACACACAGCAGGTCTACAGGATTAACACACAGCAGGTCTACAGGATTAACACACAGCAGGTCTACAGTATTAACACACAGCAGGTCTACAGTATTAACACACAGCAGGTCTACAGGATTAACACACAGCAGGTCTACAGGATTAACACACAGCAGGTCTACAGTATTAACACACAGCAGGTCTACAGTATTAACACACAGCAGGTCTACAGTATTAACACACAGCAGGTCTACAGTATTAACACACAGCAGGTCTACAGTATTAACACACAGCAGGTCTACAGTATTAACACACAGCAGGTCTACAGTATTAACCACACAGCAGGTCTACAGTATTAACACACAGCAGGTCTACAGTATTAACACACAGCAGGTCTACAGTATTAACACACAGCAGGTCTACAGGATTAACACACAGCAGGTCTACAGGATTAACACACAGCAGATCTGCAGTATTAACACACAGCAGGTCTACAGGATTAACACACAGCAGGTCTACAGTATTAACACACAGCAGGTCTACAGTATTAACACACAGCAGGTCTACAGTATTAACACACAGCAGGTCTACAGTATTAACACACAGCAGGTCTACAGGATTAACACACAGCAGGTCTACAGGATTAACACACAGCAGGTCTACAGGATTAACACACAGCAGGTCTACAGTATTAACACACAGCAGGTCTACAGTATTAACACACAGCAGGTCTACAGGATTAACACACAGCAGGTCTACAGTATTAACACACAGCAGGTCTACAGTATTAACACACAGCAGGTCTACAGGATTAACACACAGCAGGTCTACAGGATTAACACACAGCAGGTCTACAGGATTAACACACAGCAGGTCTACAGTATTAACCACACAGCAAGTCTACAGTATTAACACACAGCAGGTCTACAGTATTAACCACACAGCAAGTCTACAGTATTAACCACACAGCAGGTCTAAGTATTAACACACAGCAGGTCTACAGGATTAACACACAGCAGGTCTACAGGATTAACACACAGCAGGTCTACAGTATTACCCGCCCACAGAAGGTTCCTCGCCTCTTTAGCCACACTGGGTTTGGTTATTATGGTGGAAGACTCCCAGCAATCAACCCAGGGTCCTTCAACAGAAGGATGCTCTTCAACCATTCACCTACCCAATATCTGCTCCACCACAAGTCAGGGAACAAATGGCACCAGGGAGCTGGTTGTCCTCCAAAACCTTGGCAATGATCCTAGGAAGGAAACGACAGAGACTGCTCAGCCAACCATTTCACTCGGAACATTTTTATAAACGAGAGAAATCCCTCTCACGTAACCTCCCTTCCCAACTTGCCCTCTGACTCTTCAAACACTCGACCTGGGGTTTCCTCACAGATTATAGATAAGGTTTGCAAACACAGTGGAAGTTTGGGTTTAAAACAGAGTGCTAAAGGAAAACATATACAGAATATGAATAGGAACTGGAAAGCAATGAGTGGTTAAAACATATTTTCATCAAATATGCCCAACTACGAAGACACATCTGAGTCAATATGGCAGACTGGAGGCTGGAGTGTTGTCGACGTGGAAGTACAGGGATGAAGCCTTGCTTTTCTTCTTTTGTCCCTAACCACCAGGTCGGCCTGATCTACAGAGTAAGTTATAGGACACAAGGGTTGTTAAAGACAGAGCAAAGAAAAATCCTATCTTGAAAAAACAAAACAAAAAAAACAAAGCAAAACAAACAAACAAAAAGCAGTGCTCATCAATCATCTTTGCAAAATTCTGTCATGCCCAGGAAAAAGAAAGCTACACATACTTACTTTGTGACGGCTATGCTAACAAGAGAAGTTGTTGGCGCTCCTTTCCTAGAGACATTTTTAAAGAGAGAGCGAGAGAAAGAAAATTAACTTGAGGAGAGGCAAATACCTTTCATTACAAAGAAAAACAAAGTTACGGAGAAAAGGTTCTGTCCAATTAGACAACAAATAACTCTAGTAACTGAAGTGGAAACCTATCCTTTAGGTGGTGTCTCTGGGCACAATGGATAAGGAAACTTATCCATTCATGAACATCAACCCACACCAAGTAATGCTGAGCCCACCTGCTGCAGGACCGTCGGAGCTGCCAGCTAGCTACACAACCCTGTACGGTTCTTACTTAGGACTGTCAATTTGAGTGGACTAAGGAAGCATTGCCTGGGCAGTGCTGAAATACCCAGCATGGAAACCACACACGCTTAGAAACGTGCTTCCAGAGGTCACCAACTGAAGGGGGAAGAGCCACCCCAAGCATGGGGAGCAGCGCCCTATAGCTGGGCTCCAGGACAGAATAAAAGGGAGAAAGCCAGGGCTGGAGAGATGGCTCAGAGGTTAAGAGCACTGGCTGCACTTCCAGAGGTCCTGAGTTCAATTCCCAGCAACTACATAGTGGCTCATAACCATCTGTACTGAGATCTGGCGCCCTCCTCTAGCGTGTGGGCATACATTGAGACAGAATGTTGTATACATAATAAAAACAAAACAAAACAAACAAACAAAAAACCAAAAAAATATATGTAAGCATAAAAAAAGGAAGAAACTTAAAAAAAAAAAAAAAAAGGAGAAAGCCAGATGAATACTAGGCTTCTCCTTTCTGTTTCCTGACTGCCCGGATGTGAGCACCTCTGTGTGACAGACTGTACCCCGCCCTCCACCTGTGATCCAAAAGAACCCTTCCCCTGTAAGTTGCCTCTTATCAAGCAGTTGGTCTCAGCAAGGAGAAATCTCAAAACAGAAACCATTGGTTCCCTCAGCAAGATGGTACCAAATCGTTACGCCTTCAAACTACACTTTGTTTTATAGAGAGATTGAGAATATTCTATTGAAGGCGTATTTAACACTAATAAATTTGGCTGGGCACACTGCTGCATGCCTGTAGTCTCTGCACTCGGGAGGCTGAGGCAGTAAGATTGCCTGGGTAACATAGTGAGATCTTATCTCAAAAAAAAAAATCAATTTAGAAAAATCCTGGACAAGGTAGCTTATGCCTGTAATCCCAGCACTTAGAAGACAGAGGAAAGAGTGCAAAGTCTTCCTCCAATAAATAAATAAATCATCTGAACTGGAAGCTGAGCCATTAACATATGGAGCCTAACTCCAGGTGTATTTCGTATCAGAACGTATCAGGTACGAATCCTGCGCTGAGAGGGAGAACAGCAGGGAGGGAAGAGGACACTACTATATCCAAACACGTCACTGATGGTAAAATACAAATTGAAAATGAAGACAATCAGCACGTGTGACTTCATGTATTAGTTGAGAATGTTTGGGAAACACTTTTAACACATCTAAATCCCTTTGAGCAGAGCAGAGCGATCACAACTGCTATAAATTCATCCTCTTCTTTCCATGAGACAGGAGAACGAGCCCAGCTTACCAAACGCAGACGTTTCCTGTGATCAGCGCGATGGCGTTGTTCCAGCCAAACACGGCCACGGGGAAATTGAAGGCAGTGATGATCCCCACCAGGCCTAACGGGTTCCACTGCTCGATGAGAGCGTGGCCAGGTCCTGAGATGTGTAAATATTCATAAATGTTAATAGAATAAAATCCTAAACCATGCCTCTGCAGGTCAGACGTGCATGTACCAGACCAGAAGATTCCTGCTGCTTCCTTGGATCACCTCACACAGCCAAAGGGTATGAATATATCACTTAATAAAAAACAGAACTGTTGATTACTATACCACGTCAGCGAATTTAATAATGTTCATTATACCTCATACCTCAGGAGCCACAGAGGTAAGGGCATTATGGGTCCCATTTGGAAGTTAGGGACAAGTCAGTGAGGCAGTGGGAAGTTCCCCCAGGAGATGTGAACCCAAAGGGTAAGATATAAGCAGAGCTCAGAACACGTGATTCTCAGATCTGGATCCATGTTCTTTATGTTGTCTCTTGACCTCTCCAACGTGAACAAGGAAGGTCGTGTTATAGGCTCGTGCTGGATTACAAAAATGTTATATTCGCTGCAAGGAAATTAAAAGCACAAATAGAAATGTTATATTTTGGCAGAATACGTGGCTCATTTGGTAGACTGCTTGCCTAGCATGTGCAAAGCCCTGGGCTGGATCCCCAGCATAGCATACACTGGGTGTGGTGGCTCTTGCCTGTCATCCCAGAACTCAGGAGGTGGAGGCAGAACGATCAGTTCTAAGTTTTTCTCAGTTACATGGTAAGTTCTAGCCCAGCCCAGAATACATGAGACACCGTATTAAAAAAAAAAAAAAAAAAATCAAAACTCAAATTGCAATTGTCAGTTTTAAAGCTAATCCCACAAAAGTTTATTTTCACCAATAGCTGGTTGGACCAAGAAATGCTGACTGGTTAAAATTACACACTGCTACATGGTAGGAAAGTGGCCCTTCCTGTCATCATTCACACTGGAAGCAGGCTTGGGGACCTCCCAGCATAGCACCTCACACTGAGGCCATCCTGCAGGCCAGCACCCCAACTCCTGCTTGGCAAGGCTAGCCTTCACTCCAGCTCTCCCTTCTTCATCCTACTGCCATCAATCCCTCACTTGGAGGCTTCTACAGTCGGCACAGATGCTGCAGCTATTCAGGGTAAAGTCCAAACTCCTCCCAACAGGGATCCTTCCTTGCACCGTGTCCTCCAGCTGTGCCGAAGTAAGGCAGTCCCCACGTCCATGTTCCTCCATCCTTGACTTTCCACAACCCCCTTCCCCACCTGAAGTATTCGACCCCGTAGCTCCATCTCCTTCAAGGCCTTAGGCTAACTTCCCTGAGAGGCCTTTTTAAATAGCATCCCCCAGGCTGGGGTAGAAGTCCACTACGTGCATATGGTGCTATCCTCCACTCGCTCTATTACAGCTACCAATTCCCTGACACCGCCCTCAACTCTAAAACCTAAGGATTTGGTGCGCGGGTCTGTGTGCACACACACGTGGAGGCCAGAGGGCAACAAACTCAGTTCTCTCCTTCCACTCCGGGGGGCCTGGGAATGGAACCGAAGTTGTCAGGCGTCCCGTCAAGCCATCTCGCCCGATCTCACTGGTCTGCGGACATTTTGAAGCTCTGTACCACAACTCCAAACACTTGGTTCAGCGACTCCCGGCTTACTTTCAGAAGGCAAGACGGGTCCCCCGATCATCCTTGACAAGCCAGCCGCGTAATCACAAATGTCCACATACTCCTGAACTTCTCCTATGCCTTCCACTAAGATCTTCCCCATCTCCAAAGACACCTAAAAATATAGAAATCCAAGTAGAATTTCTCCAGTAGAATCTGTATTTAAAATATGAAGCTGAGGACAAATAAAACATTATTTTATGTAAACAAGAAACTAAGGAAAACTGTTTTCTGGTGTTTTTTATCTTTCTACTTCTTTATTTACTTGCTTTTGTCTTATTTTTAATACAATTTGTCTATTTAATTCTTTGGGAATTTCAACCATGCATAATGGATTTATTTCAATGATTTTTAAACCACATACTTTTTTCACTTTTCTCTAAAACAATGGATCTCAAAACTTGTTTTTCTTAGAAATCACAACCTTAGGACACACATACAATGTTGATCCTTTTAAATCTGATTCAGTCTAGTGGGGAAAGGAAGCCCACAGAACTCCAGCAGTTAGGCGTCTGAGGCAGAGGGATGGATCACGTGAGCCAAGGTGAGACAACACAGCAAAAACCTCAGCTTCAAACAAAACAAAATGGACATATGAAAACTATGAGAGCCTGTTCTCTACTCAAGAGATCACGAATAGACTCGAAAGAATTCCTTACCAGCTTTCCCAGCACCCGGATCTTCTCCCGCAAGGCATCGCCAATCTTCCGCACTATTTCTCCTCGCTTTGGGGCAGGAATCTAAGAAAAGAGTGGAATTTTGGTGTCAAAGTAGACGTCTGTGTGTAGCACACTGTCAGATGTGCGCCAGATGTGCGCCGCAGAAGAACAGACTGCAGCTTCGTCGTGAGAGGCTTTCGTTAGAGCTACGTCGGCACTGTGATACGGCTAAACATCCTTGGAGTGAATCTCTTCTTGGGAGGCACAGAAGAAAAGGCAACAAACAATTGTCCACTGCTGATGGTCTAAAGACAATTACTGAAAGCGAAAATGACAAGACTAGATGCAGGGGCAATCTAAGCGCAGACTCTGCTGAATCCTGAAGGATGGAAAGAGTTGGCCTGAGATACAGAAGGAATCATGAAGGATAAAGGGCTGGTGGGAAAGGCCAGGGCCTCTGTAGCTAGAGATGTCACTAAGAGCTTGGGTGTGTCTATCTAGAGTAATACAAGCATGTTTGAGAACAGTTTATGTGCTTTCAGGGTCTGTTTCCCCAGACTGATTTTAAAGCCTTTATTTATTGGCGGTGGTGACGGAAACCTGTTTTCAGCGAAGGCACGGAGGCACACTCCTGTAACACCAGCACTCGGGAAGGCAGCAGTATCAGGGGCTCACGGCCAGCCTTGGCTCTATCAAGTTTGAGGCTACCCTAAGTTACGTTAAACCCCCTCTCTCAAAATAAATATATAAGCAAACAAACAAATAAATGAAGCAGCTTTTATAAATTACTTTTCCTTTGTATTTATACTTTTTTACTTCCTTTAAGGAAAAATATTCCCTTTGGAACTTCTAGGCTTAACTGGAATGAATGAAGCAATATTCTGTTGTGAGGTCAGCAAAGCCAAAAGGAGGACAGAGGGCAGCAGCGGGGCTCCGTGGGAGGGTCCTCGAGGGAGGCTGTGGACCGGACAGCCCGCTCTGATGTTTTCGTTGAGGCCCAGCCATCTCTAAGTCGCTGTCACACGACCGGAGCCCAAGAGGACTATTAGAACAAGCTGTCTCTACACTAAACTTTGAACTCAATTGCTTAACTCACATGCCAACAAACAGATCCCCCACTCATCCAATTCGCTCTCATCCGAGAGTGGCTGGCCTAACTTATCCAGCAACTCCACCTCGACTCAAAAACGCAAAAGCTGCTGAAGGAATGTTGAACGCAATCTGGCAGTGTGGAGCAAGATGCTGAAGTAATAAATGAGAACCTAAATTGGAAAAGGCAATAGAGCACAACATTTCAGAAAGATTACCAAGACAGCAACAGCAGCCACTGTAGCAAGGGGGACAGTCAGCAAAGGAGAGAGACAGGATGGCTCAGCAGCTAAAGACACTTGCTGCTCAAGTCTGGTGACCTGTGCTCGATCCCCAGAACCCACTAAGATGGCAGGAGGGAACCAACTCCACAAAACTGACCACTGACCTCCATATGCACATTATGGCACACACACATCACCACCACCATCACCATCAGCACCAAATAAAGTCTTTAAAATCAGTCTAGGAAAACAGACCCTGAAACCGCATAAACTGTTCTCAAACATGCTTGTATTACTCTAAATAGACACACATGAGCATAAAATATTTCTCATTAAAAGGAGAGTCTGATTCCAGCATTGGGAGACTGAGACCAGAAGATATTCCCTGGCCTCCATACAATATATCGCAGGGAAAAAAAAAAAAAAAAAGAAGACAAAGAAGAAAGAAGGGGAGAAAGGATGCCCTTGGCAACGTGAGTTTGATTTCCAAGGCCCATGTGAAGTCAAAGAGAAGTGATTCCACAAAAATGTCCTCTGACCACCACACGTCCTCCATAATACATGTGCCAACACACACGCATCATGTTCACAGACATACAAAAACAAGCACTTTTTAAAAGTATTCATTAAGTTTTTTGGCATACAAAGTGATCCTGAAATTGTGCACACGTCATGTAACGTGCACAGAAGAATCGCAGCAGTGGAGTAAACACATGAGAGCTGGGGGAGAAATACCCAACGGCAGCTCTGACAACATCTGTACTGGCAAGGTTGGAGTTAAGACTAATTTGATTTTCATACTGCATCATCCTTAAAACAAAAAGAGAAACCAAAACGCCAGGGAGCTGTTGAGATGACTAAGTGGGTAACGGCACCTGCCACCAAGCCTGAGGACGCAAGTTCAGGCTCCAACACATGGCATCATGGTGTACTGACGCTCGCCATGTGCCAGCTCCACCATGAACACCTGCAAACAATGCCTGATTAAACGATATGACCCTCATGACAACTCCTGAAGACAAACATCCCTCATCTCCCCTCTTCATGAACACACTCTGATGGAGGCAGAGGGCTGCCAGAAAACCCTAGTGACTCCTTCTCTCCCGATTCCCCCTCCACACCGACCTATAGTGGAGGCTCAGTGAGCCCCTCAGAGTTCTCACTTTGGCTCTTTGTTTTTTGGGTTTGTTTTTGTTTGCTTGTTTTGTTTTGTTTGAGACAGGGTTTCTCTGTGTAACAGTCCTGGCTGTCCTGGAACTCATTTTGTAGACCAGGCTGGCCTCGAACTGACAGAGATCCACTTGCCTCTGCCTCCCGCATGCTGGGATTAAAGGTGTGAGCGACCACCCATTGAGCAGCCGCACTTTGACTTTATTTTTTTTAACCCATGATGGATGGTGAGCAAAGACGAAGGAGGCAGATTCTGCCTCGTGGCCAATAGGAGCTCCTTAGCCCTGAGAAAACAGTGTGCCTGCTCTGGAGCCAGGCATGCTGTGAAGACATGTTGTCCCTGACCAGTCTGGGAGGAGAGGCAGCAGGCGCACAGAACAAAGAGCTCCCCTTCTTTTGCTCAATTACAAGTTTTGGGGGAGAATATTCCTGGCTCCGGTTTACGCCATAAGAGTTTTCATCGATTTTAAAGTTACCCATCCCTATAATCCCAAATGGGAAGAACACTATTTTGTGAATACCAGGGAGGAAATTAACACAGTCCCCAAGATCGCACATTTCAGCCCTGTCTCATGTTTATCTGTCTTTCATAATTACAGCAGGTGACCTGTTCGGCAGTGGGGACCAGGGACGCATCCTTACCTCTGCCCACATTTTCCATGCTTCCTTGGCTTCCTTTATAGTTTCTTCATAGTCTTCCGAACTGGCCTAAGAATTGGGGTGAGAGAAAAGGAATGAAGAAAGAGTGAGAATTCCCAGAAAGAGGCTGTGTCTGCAGATACTGATTAGAACTGCAGAGGGCCTTTAATCCCAGCACTCAGGAGGCAGAGCTCTGTGAGTTCGAGGCCATACTGGTCTACAGAGTGAGTTCTAAGACAGTCAAGCGTACACAGTGAAATCCTGTCTCAAAAAAAAAAAAAAAAAAAAGAACAGATGCAGAGGGGTTGGAATGCAGCCTAAGTACCTTACCCTGAGCTAGTTTCAGACCCCTGAATTCCTCGCTCACCTCAGTGTTTGTCGGATCATTTTGTGGCTAACCGATAAAAGATCTTCTGGAATCTATCAATTTAACAGACCACTAGTCCCAAAGGTAGAGAATGTCATCAGATAACAGACGGAGCCCCCATCTCGCTGTACCCACTATTGCCTTGACGTACAACTTTCATTTCCCTGCGACTATAAAACTCTAAGAGACAGCTTCCCTGAGGGAGCAACCTGGAGTAACCTGGCTGTGTTTCTCAGGGTGTGGTGGTTACTCAAATCTGGCTCCAGAAAAGGCTATATCCTATTCCCTTTGAGGTGAGAGTTGTGGGTTTCTGTTTTGTTTTGTTTTTGGTTTGGTTTTTCAAGACAGGGTTTCTCTGTGTAGCTTTAAAAGCTTGTCCTGGAACTCGCTCTGTAGACCAGGCTGGCCTTGAACTCACAGAGATCCGCCTGCCTCTGCCGGCCAAGTGATGGGATTAAAGGCATGTGCGCCACCACTGCCCAGCAACTGACCACAGTTACTTGCCTTCTAGAATATATATACATCTTTGCAAAAAAGAGTGGAAATTTCTCTCTCCCTAAGACTCAAGACGATAATGATTTCAACAGTCTACAATCCAGAAGGCTGGAGTTGTAGCTGGGGGCAAAACTCTTGACGAGCATAGCTGAAGCCCTGGGTTCAGTTCCCAGCTAGCTGGGGAAGGGGGGAGGGATATAGAAATATTAAATAAAACTAAAGCATATATAGAAACACCAGCTAAAATCTAATACAAGAAAAGACAGCACAATTGTGCTTTAAAGCCTCGTTTTTCAAATCAAAAGGTCTAGCCTCATCTGGATACAACATATGACCCATATTAGAAAGTTCAATCATGGGCTCCAGTCCAGATTTGAAAAAAATCAGAATCTTCATTCTTAAAAAAAGAAAGAGAACCTCTGGAATGAGTCAGAAGCAATACCCAAGGACACCAGGAATGCAGTTCAACTTGCCTAGCATGCACGAAGCTCTGGGTTCAAGCCCCAGCAAAAACCTAGCATGGTGCTGCACGCCTATTGCTAAGTCAAAAGTCAGCTAAAAGCAAGCTCTAGGCTAGGTATCTTATATTCAAACAAAAAGGAAAAAAAGCCTCTGTCTCATCCTCTCTGATGTACCTTTTCCAGCTAATACCACCAAGCCAGAGTGAGCAGACCCCCCAGAGAGGCTCACAATGGCAAGAAAGTACATGATTCCTCACTTCTGTACATCTGTGCTGATCTTAACCTTTGCCTCTAAAGACCTAGCACAGTTCCCTGTAACAGCCTGAGTTTCAGCAACTTACCTGTCGGATTCTTGCTATTGGCTCATTGTTAGCAGGACAATAGGTCGTAATTACCTTGAAGGAGACAAACAAAAAGATGACGACCATACATGGAAATTAGAACCATTCCCTAATTGAGGAGAAAACCAAATCGAAAAAGAAAAGCAAAATAGGAGCCTTTAGGGTAACTTCTGTTATGATTAACCCCTCTTCAGAGCAGTCTTGGGTTCCTTGTCTATGCATGGGGAACTTTCTGTAAAATCCACAAGCTGGTCATCTAAATACTAGGGTCAAGGCGCACAACACACTCACTTAGGGTAACCAGAAATTCAACTGACAGTTTAACTTACTGCTCTGCCCACTCTCTGGTCTGGAAACACACCGCCCAAGTCCAAACTACAAAAAAGCCTGGGTTGATGAAACTGGAGGTTTCCAAGTGGAAAGATAAGACTGAAGCGCATCTAAAAGGCTACATTTTATCAGCCATTAACGACTAAAGCCACAAAAGAAGCAGCTGAGGGCAAAGAGGTTTTTTGTTTGTTTGTTTGTTTGTTTATAAAGAGACAACAGAACGTAACCCCCAATTACACAACAATTAAAAATCACCTGGCTCTCCTACGGTCAACGGTAGCCTTGAAAAGAAGTTGTGTTTTCTGTACCAAAGCAGATTCTGGTACAGCTGAACGTCAGGTTTCTGAAAAAGCTTCCTTTCCTTCCTTTGAAACTACGCAACACCCTCCTAAGTTTTGGGCAACTATAACTTACCTGTCTACTGCATTCTAGAAAACGTTTTATTACCGTGACAAGTTTGGGCAATAAATATTGAAAATCAAGTCTTCAAGGTGAAAAAGATTCACAAGACTTTAGCCAGGTCGAGCTTGTAACAGAACCCAAATAAAACTGCCATACGGTTTTAAGCCCTGGGGTTTAGCCTTCCTGGAGGCTCCAAAACCTCCATCGATTCCTCGCGGCGCTAAAATCTAAAGTTCGCTTATTCTTGTCTTTGTGAGAAAACTTCTATTGTACGAATTTAAAACTTCCCACCCTGTCTATCCTCCCACAGTTCCAGTCAAGAGACGATGGTAATGGGGGCGCCCGCCTCCTGGCCTCCCAGGCAAATCCTTGGCTGCCACTTTCCGGGGCGCTCGCATACCTCTCCTCCGCCGCGCCAGTGTCCATTATACACGCCCGCGTTTTCCTCGCGGAGCCCCAGCTCTTGCAGCCAAGAATACTGGGGATGATTGATCAGCAGAGTGGACATGAGGGCGGTAGGCCTGCACGGAGGGCGGAAAAGCTTGCAACTCTTCACAGTCTGCTCGCACGCCGTGCGAGCCACACGCCACATACCGAGCTCAAAACGCCAGAAGCCCCCGCCGCAGGGGAGTCCCGGAAATATGGCCCCGCCCCCCGCCCGAGAGAGTCCGCAGGGCAGGCCCCGCCCCCTGCCCAGTCCACGGAGGACCTTCCTCTCCCACCCCCTTCCGCGAATGTCCACTGGGCAGACCCCTCTCCCGGGAGCCGATTGGGCAGCCTCGCTCCACCCCCGACCACACGCCGCCCCCCCCCCCGTTTGCCCCGGCGGGGGGGTCTTACTTATCTCACTCGCTGGAAAACAAGGTTGCCTCGGGGTCTGGGGTGGGGCAGATGTGGGGGCGGAGGCGGAGGTGGGGGACGGAGGTGGAGGACGGGGGCAGAGGTGGAGGACGGGGCGGAGGTGGGGGACGGGGGCGGAGGTGGGGGCGGGGAAACGCGCCTCCCGTTGGTTCTGAAGTCCAGTGGGTTAGAGAGGAGCTTTCAAACAATGATATGCTCATAGGCCATAGTGGTCAGGGTATTCCGGGCCTGCTTATTCCGTGGGTCTGGGCTGAGGCCTGAAAATCTCAGCCTTTCTAATCGGCTCTCAAGGAGCTGTATGTAGTATCACTGGTCTCTGTTGTAGCCCTGAGGGATTTTTCAGTGGTTTGAAGGTTTGAAGAGGGTCATTTTCACTGCCTTGGTGAATTACAAATGTTTCCTAATAAATGAAAAGTATTGCATGATTGCATCACCTTCTAAATACGCTGCCTGAGTATATTCTTTCTTTGGAAGAACAGACCATTTTGATCAATGTTCTTCACTCTCCATTTCGTCTAGCATATCCTTGCCCCTCATCCTCTTAGGATAACTCTGTGTCATTCCCCCAATAACTAGGCCTTTTTTATAAAGGAAATCCTACATCTCATCAGCACTAGACACATGCATTCAAATTAAAAAGGTGCCTGGTCATTTCCAGCCTGTTACTTGCCCTTGTGATTCCCAGGCCATATTGGGTTTCTCAAAGATTCTCCGCCTATGTTTTCAATATATTTCCATTGCATTCTACCCTGTTGCTAAAGTCACAAAAGGATACAAACAGGAAAGGAAGAATCAAAATCAAACGATATTTATTTGCATATAATATGATACTTTCCTTAAAAATCTGGTGGTGGGACAAGTCTCTCATCCCAGCATACAGGAGGCAGAGGCACATCTCTGTAAGTTTGAAGCCAGCCTGGTCTATAGAGTTAGTTACAAAGTGAGTTCTAGGGCAACCAGGTCTACACAGAGAAACCCTGTATCAAAAAGAAAAAAACAAAAAACAAAAATAAAAACCTCCAAGATTTACCAAGTATTTCTAATATCTGGTAACATTTGGCAGCAAAGTAGTTAGGTACAAAACAACATATGAAAATTAATGCACCTTTTTAGACAAAGTCTTATGTAGCCCAGGCTAGCCTCCTACTCACTACACAATGAAGGATGACTTTAACAACTGCCTCTTCCACCTCAGTGCTGATATTCTAGGCAGGCTCAAAGCACCCGACTATACAGTGCTAGCAACTAAACCTAGAGCATCATGCATGCTGGGCAGTCTACCGATGTAACTACATGACTAACCCAGTGGTTTTTCTGTATAGCAATAATAACCATGCTGAGAGAAAAGGCAAACAACCTCATTGGGCATCGCAATGATGATGATGATGATGACGACGACGACAAAATACAAAAAAGAACTGCTATGAATAAATCTAGCCAGGGAAATAAAAGATCTGCAATAAAAACTTTGAAACACTTAAGAACTACTGGATAAAGAATCAAGAAAAGATAGTAGAAAATGAAACGACCTCCCAGGCTCATAGATTGGCACCACTGATATAGTGAAAACAGGGCCAGGCAGTAGTGGCACACCCATGCCTATTAATCCCAGCCCTCGAGAGGCAGCAGCAAACGGATCTCTGTGAGGTCAAGGCCAACCTGGTCTATAGACCAGGACATCCAGGACTACACCAAGAAACCCTGTCTCAAAAACAAACAAACCAAAAAAAAAAAAAAAAAAAAAAAACTAAATGGGTGGGGGGGTCTGGGGTGTAGTTTATTGATAAATCTAACATGTATGGAGTCTTAGGTTCCACCTCTAGCATGACATAACGAGGTTGGGTAGTGCATGTCTGTAATGGAGAACAGAGGAGGTAGAAGCAGAAGGTGCTGTATACCAAGTACAAGGTCAGCCTAGCCTGCCTGAGAGCTTCTCAAGTTTCAAGAGGTAAGTATAGACAAAGGCTTTTTAAACAGGATTCCTGTAGTCCAGGAGTTAAGAGCAAGAATGTCAAATGGGGCCTATGAAGATGGCTGAGCTGTTAGAACACATCATTACTGTTCCCCAAAGAACCTGAGTCCAGTTCCCAGCACCCATGGTTTACAGCCACCTATAACTCCAGCTCCAGGGGGCTCTGACACCTCTGGCCTCTGCAGGCACTTGCACTTGTGTGCATACATACATATACATATTTTTAAAAGTAAAATAAACCTTTAAAAAAAAAGAATTTGGCTGGGCGGTGGTGGCGCACGCCTTTAATCCCAGCCCTCAGGAGGCAGAGGCAGGCGGATCTCTGGGAGTTCGAGGCCAGCCTGGTGTACAAGAGCTAGTTCCAGGACAGGCACCAAAGCTACAGAGAAACCCTGTCTCGAAAAACCAAAAAAAAAAAAAAAAAAAAAAAAGAATTTGTAAATGTGGCCTGGGGGTATAAATCAGTAGAGTTGGTGATTGCCTAATAGGCAGGAGGCCTTGAGTTTAACCCCATTACTGTACATCGGGATGGCAGCCCAAGCAAACCATCTCAGCATTTGGAAGGGAAAAAACAGAAAGACCAGACATTCAAAGCCATCCTCTGCTATATGGTAAATTGGGGGCCAGCCTGGGCTACATGAGAACCTGTTTCTTCAGAAAAAAAAAAGTTGACAAGTAGGGTTGCACGAAATTAAGAGCCTGGGCTGGAGGGTGAGAGCACTGGCTGCTCTTACAGAGGACACAGGTTCTATTCCTAACATTTCCTAACATGTGCTGTGCAATTCTCTCTAGTTCTAGGGAATCTGATGCCCTTTGCTGGAACCAGGCATGGATACAGCTCACCTTATGGCTGGCAGGAAAGGGGTGGGGGCAGGGACAAGATAAACTCTTCAAAGGCATACTCCCAGTGACTCATTTGTCCCAACCAGGTCCTACCTCCTCCTCATTGTCCATTCAGCTATTAATTCATCAATAGGTTGATGGGATTCACTTTTTTTTAAAATCATTGGTCACCTCTCAGAATTGACACCAGTTGGGAACCAAGTTTTCAACATGTGAGCTTTTGGGGCAGTTTTGTTTTTGTTTTTTTTTTTTTGTTTTGTTTTTTTTTTTTTTTTTTTTTTTTTTGGTTTTTCGAGACAGGGTTTCTCTGTGGCTTTGGAGCCTGTCCTGGAACTAGCTCTGTAGACCAGGCTGGGCTCGAACTCACAGAGATCCGCCTGCCTCTGCCTCCCGAGTGCTGGGATTAAAGGTGTGCGCCACCACCGTTTGGGGCAGTTTAATAGCAAATTCATGCATGACACATGCCTCCTCTAGGTCACATATTTCGGTGTGGGCAGGGAAATTATATTCTTCCCAGGGCATTTTGAGCTTATAGTATGCCTGGCCAGATGACCACACTTTTCTGGTCATCTCCACTCTTGAAAAGACTGTTGTAGCCAGGCATGGTGTTGCATGCCTTTAGTCACATGGGAGGCACAAACAGGTGGATCTCTGTGAGTGTGAGGCCAGCATGGTCTACAAAGTGAGTTCCAGGACAGCCAGGGCTATACAGAGAAACCCCATCTTGAAAAACCAAAAGAAAAAAGAAGGAAAGAAAGGAAGGAAGGCCAATTGCAAAGTGTTAGAACCCTACTGAAAGAATTGAGGCTTTGCCTAAAAGATAACTTTAAAACTTTGTTATTTAAGCCCTCAGCCTAAAATCTGGTTTATATTTTCTGCTGACTGAGAGTCAAAAAAATTTCAGCTCTGTTGAAAACAACAAGATGAGACTGCCTGCAGAGATAATGCTGATTTTCCTACAGGCACCTCAGGGCCAGAATGTTTGTACTCAGTTTTACCTGGTTAGGGTGCTTCTCTCATAGCTAAATTTAAATGGTGTTCCTTGTAAAAATCACTTTATGATTTCATTTGCAAAAAGAAATTCTTTAATGCAAGAGAAGAAAACCTAGCCGGTAGTGGTGGCAAAACCCTGTCTTGAGGTAAAACAAAACAAAACATAAAAAATAAACTGGAGCCGGGCGATGGTGGCGCATGCCTTTAATCCCAGCACTCGGGAGGCAGAGGCAGGCGGATCTCTGTGAGTTCGAGACCAGCCTGGTCTACAGAGCTAGTTCCAGGACAGGCTCCAAAGCCACAGAGAAACCCTGTCTCAAAAAAACAAAAAATAAAATAAAATAAAATAAACTGGACCATACGTTTTTACTTAATTCTTAACCTTTGTTGGCTCTTAACCCTTTCCTTGGAGCAATGCCACAGAACAATCACACGTATCCACTATGAAGACCGCCAAGCACGGCTCTGTTGAGCTCTTCACCGTCTTGAGTGTGGACAGCCCTTCTCCCCACCTCTCTCAGAGGCAGCACGTAAATCTGACGTACTAACCCTTATCTCTACTTACCAGGCTTGCTAACTTTGTTCCTCTCTGACTGCTTCTGGAATCTTTTTCTGCTGTGTAATCAAGGGTTTAACTTTACCCCATTCCATATCCCCAAGGTGAGGAACTCCTTGGGCTATGGGGGAAACACTGCTGGCCTAGGTTGGTCTCACCACCACACATTGGCAATTACCACGGCAATGATCAAAAAGAAGAAGAAAAAGAGGAGGTAAGGGTGGGGAGAAGGGTCATCTGAATTCCTGAATGCTCACTGCCGAACCTCTGAAAACATCTGAATATTCCACCCCCACCCCCTTCTCTAAGCTTATCCCTCTTCCTCACCTTTGAACTCTAGACCTGTTACTTCTCAGACCTCCAGGATTGCCAAACAGACTTAAAAACAGCCTCCATTTCTCTTGTT